TGGCTGACCCAAACCATCATATTTCTCTTTCTTTCTTATCTTTTTAATGACCTTTTGCTTGCTTCATGTGTAATCTCCTTGATGTCATCCCACGGCTCATCAGGTTTTCTGTCATTACTGTTCAGTGTGTCAAATCTGTTCTTGAGATGTTCTCGAAATTCAGGTACGATACATTAAAGGTGATATTTTGGTTCTCGTGGACTTGTTTTAATTTTCTTCAACTTTAACCAGAACTGAGATATGAGCAACTGGTGGTTTGTTTCACAGTTTGTCCTTGGCCTTATTTCAGCTGCTGATATTGAACTTTTCCATCATCCCTTCCCTGGGATATAGTAGTTTTATGTCTGTGTACTCTGGTGAGATCCAAATGTACAGTCACATTTATGTTGGTGGAAAAGGGTATTTGCTATGAAGAAGTTGTTGGTCTTGCAAATTTTTATCATCTGATCTCCAGCTTTGTTTCTATCACCAAGGTCACATTTTCCAACTTTCCCTATCGCCACTTGCTCTTTATTTCCAAGTTTCACATTTGAATCGTCAATATTTACCAATGCATCCTGATTGCATGTTTGATAAATTTCAGACTGAAGATGTTGGCAGAATTATTCAATTATTATACCACTAGCTTTAGTGACTGATGCAGAAATATGAATATTTGTATTTACTTCACTTCCTGGTAGGCATGTCGATATTATCCTATCACAGACATCACTGTACTTCAAGACAGGCCTTGAAATACTATTTCTTACAATCCATGGGATACCATTCCTCTTAAATTTGTAATTCCCTGCGTAGTAAACCACATGGCTGTCTGATTCCAAATGGTGTCAGCCCACTGCATCTCACTAATGCCTGGAATATCAACCTTTATTTGTTCCATTTCCATTTCGATGACTTTCAATCTTCCTTAATTCATACTTTACACATTACACGTTTCAATAATTAATGGATATTTGCAGTTATTTGTTTTCATTGTGAGTCAAGCCCCATCAGCAAATGAAGATCTTTAAAGCTCATAATCCACCTCATAATGGCCACTCTACTTTGAGAAGACAGCTCTTTTCCTGTCAGATTTTGAGTGCTTTCCAACCTGAGAGAAACATATTGCTACTATTCATAAGGTTTCCAGTGTCAAATTCCTCAGAATTTGACCTCCTTGCCCTTCTTTGTAGTTCTTTCACAGTCTGGGAGCTCTGCTGCAAACTGTTTCCCTTGGGTGTTTCTGCTAGTATTCAAAATCCCGGAGACATAGCTTCCAGCCTCATTGCAACACACAGTCGACACAGTTCAACAAACTGACAGATAAGTGGTGGTCATCTTAGTTAAATATATGCAATCTTAAAGTTCTCCTTATTGGATATGCCTTGCCTTGTCCCATATAGTTGTCCAATACTAAAACATATTTTTTGCTGTTCTACAAACTATTTTAGTATTTTCATAGGTAAAGAGAATTCCAGGGACAAGGATCATGAAAAAAATTTCCCTTCCTTTAATCTTGATGCATAAGGTTATTAGTCTGAATCAAAGGTTATTACTAATATAAAATCACGTGATTGGTTCTACCATGTCTAATTATGGAGACCAATTCAATAGCAAATGAGTGTCTATTAAGTAAAACAATTACAATAATTCCATACAATTTAAAAAGTAAAACATTTATTTCTTGTCTGCAAGTTAGTCATGCATGTTGCATTTGAGGGGGGAAATTTTCAAAGGAATGTCAAAACTCCTCTAAATAAGGAAAATAAAATCCTGCCCCTGAGAAATCTGATATTGTCCTCATGATAGTTTATACTTTTTAATCCCATGAATACCAATTCCCTTCTACAAAAAAAAAATAATAAAATGCACCTATTCCTTTCATATTTAAAATCCTAACTCAATTCAAGGTCATGTTTAATATATGATGGCAAAGAATTAAGAAAAAAATTAGCTATATAGGTTCCATCTTTCTATTTCATTTAAACATTTCCAGTTTCAGTAGTTTTATAACTACGGTCCTAATTAGTATGGGGTCCTCAAATTAGAAAAGCAGAATTGTTATTATTACAACACTTTTAATACATAAATATTTTGTTTTTAAAATGTAAGGAGTGTTTAGATGTATAGTAAGCATTTTCCAAACTCTTGCCCTTCAAGTTGATCTAGACTTACAGAATGGAAAAATCTATGTAAGATAAATACAAAGGTAAAACTCCACTGAAAATTATTTAAGCCACTGAATATTTAAGAAAATAGTATTATTTTTCTTTCAGTGTTAAGACCAATTGTTTGCCATGTCTTTCAATTCTAATTTCAGTGACTTTGTATTTTGTTGATTCACAGAACCTTCACACCAGTGTACTGCCCAAGCCCACTAAGTGGCATCACACCTCTCCTTTATGTAGCTCAGACCAGACAATCCAACATCTTAAAAATACTTCTGCAATATGGGATCTTAGAAAGAGAAAAAAACCCTATCAACGTTGTGCTAACACTATTGCTCTATCCTTCAAGAGTGAGAATAATGGTTGATCATGAACTGGTAGACATCCAGGAAGATGCCAAAACATGCTTAGTGCTATGTTCTAGAGTGCTCTCTGTCATCTCAGTCAGAGAAATCGAGGTAAGCAAAATATTCTTTGTGGGGGTTTGGCTCAAATATTGATCACTTTTGTGATACAACTGTGAAGTCAAGAATGAAGTTTAATATTATCAATGAATTACATCCCAAGACAATCATTGAATGTATACTGGTATTTCGGGTTTCTGAATGTTTGCTTTATGTCATTTCACTTTTACAAAAGGTCCACATTAGTACCTGCTTTCGGTAACTTAGAGAAGATTTTTTTTAATGTAAAAAAGTGAACACTGAAACAAACTTTCAGCATTTGTTTTGCAGCACACCTGGCACACTTCAAAGAGCAAGAGTGGCATCACACAGTTCCTTCCCCAAACCAAACGCGCTTCTCTTGAGTCGATTCTGACTCAGAGCCACGCTATGGAACATAGGGTCTCTGAGACTGTGCATCGTGAACAAGCAGTTTACTGAGTCGCTTCTGACTCAGAGCCACGCTATGTGTGGAACACAAGGTCTCTGAGACTGTACATTGTGAGCGAGCAGACAGTTCATCTTTCTCTCACAATGCAATTGGTGGTCCTGAACGGTGTATCTTGAAGTTAGCAGCCCAATGCATAAGCCACTGTGCTACCTGAGATCCTTGATAAAGATTATGCATTTATTATATTATTTTTGCTCTTACTTAGTATTATTTTAGGTTTTATATATTATTTTGCATAGTTTGGTAGCTTGTTTTTTAGGTTTTGGAATGCTAAAAAATTTTCCCACATAAATTAGTCATTGCTTTTAGCTTTATACCATTTTGGCCTAGAAAGGGTCATAGGAATGCTTTAGTTTTAAATTGACAGGGAAAACCTGCACTTATGAATTAAAAATAACAAGTTATCTAAAATACTAGTTTCTAATTTTGTCATTTTAGTTATTTCTAAATATAAAAATATAAATTAAATATATATTTTACTTCTGGACTTATTAAATATGTGTATGCTGTTATTGCAATTAAATAACATAATAATCTATGCTTATTAAAAGACTTTTTATGTCTCTTGAAAATAAAGCCAAAATTTTAAATTTAACAAACTGGATTATTTAACAAAATTGATTATTTCAAAATCCAAATTAAATTTCTCATCATAAATACATACCAAGAAAAAAATGCTTTTCTCCTTAGAAATCCCCATATAATTTAAGCAAACATAAAAGCTTTAAAATAAAGGTTTAAAATATTTGTTCAATTAAGATTTTCTCTTCCTCTAAGATTTGGAGTACTTCTCCTTAATAACATTTTTAGAATAAATCAAGTTTAGTGGGGGGGGGAATAAAACCCCAAATCAGATCACAATGTAGAACATGTTCATCTTGTCAATTGTATCGTGCCCAGTAATAGCAAGAAGTAGGTCTGCTTAATTAGCACTGCACACATATATGAATCTAAACCAAACTGGAGATTCCCAGTAAGACAGCAAACTAGGCAGACACACTACACAGACGAGACACCAAAGGAAACAGATGTGGATAATAATCCAGGGACTCTGAGCTTCAAAGGAAAGGATAGCGATGTGGATTGAATGCTGAATAGGAGAAGAAGCTGAATAAGAGTGGTCAGAGAGGAGACAGAAGGGTGAATTGTCAGCTAACCTGATGCTGTGACCATCCTGAACTTTTGTAAGCAGCATTCTATCCAAACATCAGCTGGCATACCTGTGGATGGTCACAGGATCCTTCGTTGTCCTCACACCCACCAGTGACCAGAAGCATAGCTAGTTAGACCTTACCATCACTCACCCAGAAGCCAGTGACACCTTGTTCCATGCTGCCCCTATTCTGCCTGAAGTCAGAGCCCTTTACTTATGGATCAGATACTGGGTGCATCCCCACCCCCATGAACGACCCCTTATCAGACCAGCAGAACACACAACGTCAGGAGCCTCACAGCTCGTGGGTGAGTGGGATGTCCGTCCATAATTAGTCACCCTGCACCCAGTTACCTTCCGGACATGAAATAATTCCTCCAGAGAACAAACACCGTGACCTCAGTCACCATCTGAGCGAACAAGAAATACTTCTGGAATTGGTGCCCAAGACAATAGATAGGGCAGCAGGAATTCCATCTAAGGGCACTGTTCCCCTCCTCCCACTCCATCCTGGTAGCTCCTTAGCTAGCAGAGAGAGTGCTGACCCATATCAAGTGTCCCACCACAATTTTCCTTTCCTTGTCTTATTATTATTTCTTTCCCTCCCTTTCCTTTGATTTTTATCCCTTTCTGCTTTTGCTTTAGCAAAGTGTGGTGAAGAAACCAGATGGTTCCAGATTATCAGAAAGAATAACATCTGAGGTATTAAAGGCTTATCTTAAAACAAGCAGCCATCTAAATGAGGAGTTAAGTCCACATGGAAGAAACACATGAGCCTGTGTGAGCCAAGAATTGCAAATAATATAATCCAGACCCAGAGCAAAAAGAGAGGCAAAATAAACCGATTGCCACCAGAAGAAATAAATATTAGAGTAGAAATAAATGAAACAGAAAACAAACAATAGAAAGAATTAAAAAGGCAAGAAGTTGGTTCTTTGAAAGCACTAATAAGTAAATTGGCATTCTATGATGCTCACCT